CTGGAGATGCACGGAGGCATGCAACGCCACGTTACATTCTGACGTGACGCCAACATGCTCCACCTTCACAGGTTTTCAAGGAGTAGCAGGAGGATCTGTTTGGCACAGGATGCAGACAGCGTCATTGAGTTATACCAGAGGCTGTACTCCGGAGTCACCAGGGCCGCCCTGTGCGAGCACCCGCCATCTTTGTTTGACCCCCTTTTGACAATTTCAGGCACATTCACAATCTGTCATCTGCACCCCCTTCAACAAAACCCTGCCCCCTTCATCAGCCCCCTGCCCCCCTTCATCAGTACCCTGCCCCCCCTTTATCACCAGTCCCCTGCCCCGCTTCAGCAGTACCCTGCCCCCCTTTATCACCATCACCCTGCCCCCCTTTATCACCAGCCCTCTGCCCCTTTATTACTAGCCCCCTGCCCCACTTTATCACTAGCCTTCTGCCCACTTCAATAAAATGCAATCGTTATATAAAAAAAAAAAAAAAAACAATAAGGAGAAACACTTACATTAAAGGCTGCTGCTCCCTGTATCCAGTTGTCAGTTATTCCTACTCCGCTGACTCGCCGACTGAAGAGCACCTGCTGCCCTGACACCCCATGAGCGGATCCTTCCGACATCACACCCCTACGCTCCTCCTCCACGCTCCTCCTGCATTCCAATTCATCTGGTTTGTGAGTGACCGACTGCGAGCTGTGTCAGCCACCTGGCACCCCTGTTGCCATGGCTCCTGTTGCCACGCAGACAGTCAGACACTGTTACAGTGACACACAGAGTAGAGTCTCACACATAGGCAGACACACAGAGTACAATCTCTCACACACACACACACACACACAGGCAGACATTCACACACACACAGAGTACAGTCTCTCACTCACACACACACGCAGACAGTCAGACACTGTTACAGTCACACACAGAGTAGAGTCTCACACACACACAAGCAGACAGTCACACAGAGCAGTCTCTCTCTCTCTCTCTCTCTCTCTCACACACACACACACACACACAGGCATACAGTCAGACACTGTTACAGTCACACACAGTACAGTCACAATTACCTATTTCCCTTATGGCTGGAAGGTAGGAGTGGAAGCAGTGATTCTTTTCTGTGCAGTTCCTGGAGCTTCAGTGCCTTTTAGCCCCACCTTATCCATTCTGTAAGCTCTGCCGCCACTGTGCGGTAAGCCCCAGCCCCTTTTCATAGTCCCCTGTGGAAAATAATTAATCTTCCACCCAAGGACTTGCTTTAGCTCCCCCTGCACTCACCCGGCCATGTGCGAGCTGTGTTGGCCATGTGGTGCCCCCTGCTCCATGGCACCCTGTGCGGCCGCACAGCTCACAAGCCCAAAAGGCCGGCCCTGGGAGTCGCATACTGTCAGTGGCAATGTGAGTGGAGTCTACTTGTTGGCTAATATTGTTTTTGGGGGGTTTTATATTTATATTTTTTGATATTTATTTATTTATTTTTAAACCAAGAGGCTGCACTGAGCTGAACATTATAGTGTGCTGCTGGACCAATTCATACAACATACAAAAACCAGCACACTTGCTCATTCACTAAACAACAATTTCAAGTCTAACAGAATGTAATAGTTTTATTTAAAAACACCTCACCCAAGCAAAAATAATGGGAGGTTAGTAACAGTATATGATCATACACTGCATAAGCCTCTCCACAACGCCAATGTTCCTTAGTTTGGGAAGGTCCTACTGTTACAACCTAATGCCTGCTTATATGAGATTAATCCACTTACTTGGAATATGATTCCTCCTAGGACTCTCTGCATTATATTTAGCATATTTATGCACATAAGGAGCTAACCATATATATTAATGTCTTGGTGCCATATACCACAAAACATGTTTAAAGATCTCATGGAGTCTATGCTAGTCTATGCTTCTGTGCTATTTTGGCAGCATAAGGGGGACCTACACAATATTAGGAAGGTGGTTTTGATGTTGTGGCTAATGAGTTTATTGATATTACACAATCTGATTAACATTTATAATGGTTGTGAGTGTCCAAAAGAAAAAGTACTACAAATTTGCTTCAGTACTGAACTCAGGCATAGCTCTGAAGACACACAGTAATGAAGAGGTTAAGTATAATGAATAGAAGCATTTCATGCTTAATAACTCCAATCGCACTACAATAAATGTGCTGCCACCATCTGTAATCTATCCAGTCTGTGGGTTATTCCAAGGATGAACTGGAATCCAGCATTTTAATTGTTCACAACCATACTAGCTTATCTAAGACCATGACAAATGTTTCCAGCTTAAAAGCTTAATGTACCATCACCAATGACCATAAGGAAATGCTCAATGATCATAGTCGTGATGGATTGCACCTAAACGGAAGAGGGTCTGCTGTCTGCTGTGCTGGGGGGGATAGGATGGCAAGAAGGTTGGAGGAGAATTTAAACTAGTATTAGGGGGGGAGGGTCAAAGCAATCTAGAAAATGGAGGTAGGATAGAAATGAGATGGGCTTTAGCTCAGAACAAAGGGGGTGGAGTTGGGGGGAGGGGAAAGCTCAGTACAGAGCAGGTATGTAATGTTGATAATTCACAAAAAGTACAAATGACTCATGGTAATATTAAATGTATGCTTACTAATGCAAGGAGCCTATATAACAAAATGGGGGAACTAGAGGCAATAGCATACACTAAACAATATGATATAATAGGCATAACAGAAACATGGTTGGATGAGACACACCACTGGGCAGTTAACTTAAATGGGTACACGTTATTTAGGAAGGATAGGAAAAACAAGAAGGGTGGTGGGGTATGTTTGTATGTCAACCATGAGTTAAAGCCAAATCTTAAGCAAGTGGAATGTGATGAGGAAAATGTGGAAGCTTTATGTGTAAATATCTGCTTGGGGGGAAAAGAAGGGAAATCAACTATTGGTTGGGATATGTTATAAACCACCTAATGTTAATATTAATGAGGAAGAACTGCTCTTAGAGCAATTTGGGAAAGCTGCAAATCGGGGTAACACGTTAATTATTGGAGATTTTAATTACCCGGACATAAATTGGGATAGAGGGAATAGTACTTCAGCAAGGGGAATCCTGTTTTAGAATGTGTTAAATGACACCTTTATGTCACAACTGGTACAAGCACAAAATAGAAAGGATGCTTGTCTGGATCTTGTTATAACAAACAATGTTGATGTTTTAACCAACATTCAAGTAGGGGAGCATTTGGGAAATAGTGGTCACAATATGGTAACTTTTGAAATAAACTTAAAAAAGCAAAAGCATGTGGGGTATATTAAAACTGTGAACATATGTAACCTGCTACTGACATGCTGTCAGCCATTTTGCTGTTTATTCATCATCTTAAAATATAACCAAAGAAGAATATTTACTCTAAGAAATAAGAAGAAACTATGTTTTATTGCTACAATTTATTAATGGATGTCTGGACTGTTTTTTGGATTGCAAAAGGAAAGGTTATTTTGAAAGCGTGTCTTGTCAGATGTTGCCAGGGCGGGAAAGGTGAAATGTGTGCTTAAGTTGTGAAAGAGGAAGTCTTATATGTGTTAACTTTTATCATAGACAAGCGATATTTTAGCGAAGTAAGACGCATGACTGTGGTCAAGTCATCTGTTAGAAAGATCATGGTATGCTTAAACTTTTGAACCTTAAATTTGTCAGTTATGCTAGAATTTAGCCAATAGGAAATAAGACCATATTTGGAGTTCTGATTCAAGCTAAACGAAAGGCCAGTTCCGGGTCATATGTATAAAATATGAGGAATTGTAACATGATGTTAGATTGCTTCTTGCCAATCTCCATGAGATATCTCTGTGTATTGTAATGGTCAATTAAAACGCTTTTTATTGAACCTGGTAATATTTTTGTCTACTTCCACAGTTGGGGGCTCTTTGTCCGGGATCAGAATACCACAGACACCAGCGAAACACCTGCACCTGCCAACCATTTTGTGGGCACTCAAACAGACCGGTCATATGAAAGGTAAGCCATACCATTTATAAAACATGGCATTAGTGTAATTTTTGAGTGTCCATGAAACAAAGAATGGTGCAGGTAAATGCTAGTCTGTGTGACCTGATTTCTTAGCCTTTTATTGACCATTTGTAACGTTACTATTTATGTTTATGTTGTAAAATATACTGCAGTATTAGTGTCTATGTCTGAGTGATTCTAGAATCAGTGGTAGCACTGACAGGTAGTCCCCTAGGAAGACTTAAGTGACTAAACTTCGCAGACCCAATAGGGGTTTGGTGGGCCTTCAGAAGTCTAAACGTAGCTCTGTTGGTGAGAGTCTCTTTGATATGATGTATCCCTGTCATGTGATTGTGGCTAAATGTTGAGGTTAGCCACATGAATCTAATCTCCCAAGTCTAAACGTAGCAAAGCGAGATTAGATTATTTTGTTTTAGTGTCTTAATTTCACCCAGTCTAAACGTAGCAAGGTGAAGTTAAGTTGTCTTGTATTAATTGGCTAAATGTTGAGGTTAGCCACATGAATCTAATCTCCCAAGTCTAAACGTAGCAAAGCGAGATTAGATTATTTTGTTTTATTGTCTTAATTTCACCCAGTCTAAACGTAGCAAGGTGAAGTTAAGTTGTCTTGTATTAATTGTTTAAACTCATAGGTTAAACGTAGCACTTGAGTAAGATGTATTGTGTTAAAATTGTATAACTGTGTGTATATGGTTTAAATTTTGATAAACTGTGACATCATTTGAGAAGAGATTTTTGTGTAAACTCCAGTTGTCAGTCAGTATACAGACTGAAAATTGTGACCTTTCGATCTCTCAAAAGGTGATATAGTGGTGTGTAAAAGTACAAGTAACAGAATGGGGTTGAATCATGGCAAGCAGCTTGATCATGGGGATAGTATACCCAGTGATTCCCCAGTTTATTTAATGAAACAGAAATATGGCCCTTCAAATAATATGTATTCAAAGAAATGGGCAAAGTTAACTAAGAATAATATAAATCCATGGCCAGTGGTGGGGTCATTAGACCCTTGGGTGTTGTTAAGTTTAAGAACAATGTTGTTAAATGAAAAAAGTCTTTCAAAACTGGAATGGTCTGCATATATGTTATGGCATGAGGAAATTGAAAAGAAAAAGCAAGAATGTTCCCCCCCAGTCTGGTGCAACAGGAGGGGCATGTAAAGGAGAGGGTACTGGTGTTGCCTGTTTGTATCCCTCACTGTACAATTTAAAAAGAAATGTTAAAAATCCTCCGCCTTATAATGATGATGAGGATTTTTTTGATTAATCATGAGATTATGAATCCCTCTTTGGGTCACTTCCCCTCAGCAGATGAATGATGCACCACAGCTTGTACCCCAAAATTTAGCTGGTGCCTCAGCCATGTTGCATTGAGGTGGTAGACCTGAGAGGGATATTAGACTGCCTAAAAGATTTGCTGATCATGCTGTGGTTACTATCAGGTTTATCAGGATGTAGCAATGTGTTGCCTGAGAGTGATGGGAGTGAGGCTATGATTTTACCTATTAGAAAAGTGGGACAGATTGATAATGATGGGAGACCACGGAGGATTTGTCAACCGTGGAGCCCACAAGACATAGCATTTTTACAGGTATCATTTACTGCCCCCTCTAGATCCAAATGGGTTTGTAAAACATTTAAAAATAATGTGTGCCAGCTATTTCCCCACAACATAAGATCTTAATGAGTTAATGGAGACAGTATTAACCCCTACAGAACATACTAAATGGGTGGCAGGATATAACGAGTCACCTTTTTCATGGCCTGCAGGGGTGGGGGGACAAGCAGTTGCACACATATGGGAAAATTGCCCTGATGAGAGGAGTGATGTTGTCCTTAAGAATTGGTATGCATTCCTCAGCATTAAAGTAAAAACTGTTTTTACCCAGCCTATTGACTATACATAGCATAGTGCAAAAGAAAGGAGAAAACCCCTATGAATATGCGGAAGCAATTAAGGTTTTTGGAAGTTTTGAAGATATCACGGTTGAATCAATTAAGCCGTTCATAGTGAATACCTTAGTAAATGGTTTGGATGCTAAAGTAAAAAAAAAACAATTGATGTTATCCTTACTGGGATGACGGGATAAATCACTTAATATTGTATTAAGTGCAGCATCAGAAATTTGACAAGCTATTCAAATCAAGGAAAATGCAAAAGCTGAGCACATAATGCTACAAGCTGAACAAATTCCTGTTATATATTATGCACATCAGCCAAGACAAAACATAGCCAGAAGACCCCCACAGAATAATGTAAGAACATTTATCAAATGTTTCAATTGTGATGGATATGGTCATATAGCAACAGATTGCAAGGAGGTAAAGGGGACAAGAAAGCAATTAGAAGAAAAAGACAGACTAGATGTAGAGGAAGATTGGGGTCTGAATATGTATTGTTAGTGTACCAGTGACCCAAGGTCCAGAACCTATGGTACATTTGAAAGTAAATGAATTGTATGTGATACTGAGGGAAGAAGAAGTAAGTGATTTTGGTGGGGAGAGTGTATATTTAGTGGAAGACCAGCATTGCCATCATTGTTTAATTCTGAATGGTCAAGGCTGGGCCTAGAATCTGTATTGGCACTGGTGTGTTCTTCATGTGTTATTTGTTTACAATACAATGCAGGTCAGAGACCTAAATCATCCTCCCTGTTCATGAGGTCCATTTGTAAATTTACAAATGGATTTCATTGAATTACCAAAGGTAATGCAGTACCGGTATGTGCTAGTAATATTAGATACATTCTCAGGTTTGGTTGAGGCTTATCCTTGTTGCCATGCGGATATTGTCTACAGTGTCTAAGAAATTGTTACAAGAATTTATACCCAGGTATGGATTACCTCAGCACATTTACTCAGATCAGGCAACACATTTCACAGGAAAAGTAGTGCAACAGATTGCAAAAATTTTGCAAATCCCTTATCATTTACATTGCTCTCATCATCCCCAGTCAGAAGGAGCAGTAGAAAGGGCCAATGGAACATTGAAAAATAAAATTGCAAAAATTGTAGCAGAGACAAAGTTAAAGTGGCTTAATGCACTTCCTCTTGCCTTAATGTCTATGAGATTCTCTCCAGCTCGAAAGCAGGGTTATCCCATCATGAAATTCTAATGGGAAGACCAATGTTCACAGGACGGGTACCTATAAAATGTTATTCTCATGAGATAAATGATGATTTAGTAATGACATATTGCATGTAGCTAACAAAACGATTAGTCTCTCTATATGCAGGTAAAAGCTGTACAGCGAACAAGTGAATACCAACCTTTGCATGCCATCGCTCCTGGAGATTATGTTATGATAAAAGATCATTCACGAAAGCACGCGTTGCAACCAAGGTGGAAAGAACCTTCTCAAGTGTTATTAACCACTAATTCAGCTGTTAAAGTCGCAGGGGTTAAATCTTGGATCCACATTTCCCATTGTAAACTGACAAGCGCTTTTAAAAGATTTTTTCACTGGAAGAAGAATAGAGGACTAAGGAAGCCGTTTTCCTTCTAAAAAGGGGTACTTTATAAGGGGAGTATCTTTCTAATCCAAAGTCAACTCTACTGTTTTTCTTCATGAATCTCAAACTGGTTAAACTTATATTGTCCTTAATGATTGTCATTATGAAATTTTTTAAATTTTTCATCCTCTACACTACGTTAGCTCCTCTTTTTTTTTTTTTCTTTAATACACGTGTAGCTTGGGCCAGGGAGCCAAGTATTTTTCTTCATGGGAGATAGATAATCATTTTGTTAAAACAGCTACTGAATTGTATAAATTGTCAAACAAAAGTAATCATTGTTGGGTTTGTGGGTTTGCTCCGCATTCCATGAACTATGGTTATCCTTTTGTGGGGGTGCCATGGTCTATGGAATCTTTATGGGTCTTTGTGAGAAAATAAGAGCAAATAAAACGGGGTTTGTTGGATTTATTCAGAATGAAGTATCCAAATCTGGCGAACCTGCTAAGGTTCATTTAACATATCCCATTACTAGCAGAGCAGTAGTAATTTCTAACAGGGATCAGAAAAGTCCTGACAAGATTGTTAAGCCTATAAGCAATGCTATTGTTATTTTTGAAAACAATGTCCTTTATAATCTATGTGGGTCTGAAACTAATTCTGCCCCTTGTACTGGTAGATTGAAAGCTTTTTGTTGGAAACCCTTATTAGAAGATATTTTAACAAAATGTCCCATCAAGGATAGAATCCCGGTGATTACTAATCATGTATGGGTAAATTTGACTTCTGAGGTAGAAATCATGGATAATAATTATGATCAGAATGAACATTTAAATGTCACTATTTTGAGATGGGCCTACTTTAATACTCAAACTTTAACTTCCAATCTTTTTATGCTACTGCCCTATATTAATCAACCTATTTTTGACTGCTCAGGTTCTCGTGTTATTGATATCCATCTTCCATTTGGGGTATACTATTTATGTGGTAATTGGGCGGTAAAAAGACTTCCATGTAATTGGGTGGAAACTTGTTATCTAGGTAATATTATCCCAGCGTTAACCCTTCATGAAAATTTGCCTGAAGAAAGGGTGAGGAATAAAAGAAAGGTTATTAGTTCCAAAAAAGATAAAACCGAAAGAACTGTAAAATCTGGTGAAGAAGATAGGCTATTTGCAGGTTTTGTACCTACATGGGGGGTTATTGAATTGATGAAGCCTTTAATAATACAGGAGATGCTATTGAAAAATTGTCTGCAGAACAGGAACAAGCTTCAGCTATGATTATGCAAAATAGGTTTGCCCTAGATTATTTGTTGGCCTCCAAAGGTGGTGTTTGTGCACTAATAAAAACAAGATGTTGTTTAAAGATAGATAATGTTACTGGTCAGATTCATACAGATGTAGAATTAAATTAAACTTAGAGAAGTTCACGATACTTCTTCGGGAGGTTTAAATTGGGGTTTTGACTGGAGTTTTGGTTTAACTAATTGGTTGGGAACAATGGGAAAACGTATTCTCATTGGAGTTATTTTAGTAGTATTGATGCTTGTCTTTATATATGTTGCAGTGAATGTCCTAAAGTGTTCGTGCCGATTAATCCTCAAGAGCTGTTCACCTTCATCTCCCCTGGCACAATTTCGAATGTTGAAATGTCTCCTATCCGGTCACAACTCATACCGACTTGGAATACAGACATGCTTTCTCGTGAAGATATTGATCGTGTGCGCATCTATATGGAAAGTCCTGCAAGTGCTGTTTAAAATCACTAGCTCACTGAATGACCTTCGCTAAACATGGAAGTGTTGCACGGAGCTTTTTGTGGTGAAAGTCCTAGCACCAAAGGGAGGACTGTGAACATATGTAACCTGCTACTGACATGCTGTCAGCCATTTTGCTGTTTATTCATCATCTTAAAATATAATCAAAGAAGAATATTTACTCTAAGAAATAAGAAGAAACTATGTTTTATTGCTACAATTTATTAATGGATGTCTGGACTGTTTTTTGGATTGCAAAAGGAAAGGTTATTTTGAAAGCGTGTCTTGTCAGATGTTGCCAGGGGGGGAAAGGTGAAATGTGTGCTTAAGTTGTGAAAGAGGAAGTCTTATATGTGTTAACTTTTATCATAGACAAGCGATATTTTAGCGAAGTAAGACGCATGACTGTGGTCAAGTCATCTGTTAGAAAGATCATGGTATGCTTAAACTTTTGAACCTTAAATTTGTCAGTTATGCTAGAATTTAGCCAATAGGAAATAAGACCATATTTGGAGTTCTGATTCAAGCTAAACGAAAGGCCGGTTCCGGGTCATATGTATAAAATATGAGGAATTGTACCATGATGTTAGATTGCTTCTTGCCAATCTCCATGAGATATCTCTGTGTATTGTAATGGTCAATTAAAACGCTTTTTATTGAACCTGGTAATATTTTTGTCTACTTCCACAAAACATATAATTTTAAAAAAGCCAATTTTAATAAGATTAGGGCAGCTCTACAACATATCGACTGGCATAAACTCCTTAGTGATAAAAACACTGAGGAAAAATGGAAACTATTCAAACAAATATTAGAAAGGTACATTTCACAGTATGTACCATTGAGTAATAAATATAAAAGAAACAAATTAAAACCAAAGTGGCTTAGTAGAGAAGTAAAACAAGAGATTCAAAATAAGAAAAGGGCATTTAAAGCATTTAAATCAGACAAATCAGAGGCATCCTATATCAGATATAAGGAAGCCAATAATACTTGCAAAAAGGCAATTAAAGTGGCTAAACTAGAAAATGAGAAATTGATAGCCAAAAAATGAAAAACCAACCCCCAAATTTTTTTCAAGTACATCAATTCTAAAAAAACAAAAAAATGAAAGTGTAGGTACACTGAAAACAGAGATGGGTCTGTTAGTTAATGAAGACCAGGAAAAGGCAGAAATTTTAAATAACTATTTTTCTTCAGTATATATTAATGAGGATCCTATGGCAAGAGATAAGCAAATGATTGCTGCAACAAACTTGCAGATAACTTGTGATTGGATAACTCGAGACAAGGTGCTACAGCTATTAAAGAAAATGAATGTAAATAAAGCTCCGGGGCCTGACGGTATCCACCCACGAGTACATAAGAAGCTAAGTGGGGAAATAAGTGAACCTCTGTATTTAATTTTTTAAGATTCTTTTGTTTCAGGTATTGTACCGGAGGATTGGAGGAAGGCAGATGTTGTTCCTATATTTAAAAAGGGTTCAAAATCCTTGTCTGGAAATTATAGACCTGTGAGCTTAACTTCTGTGACTAGGAAATTATTTGAACAGCTATTAAGGGATAATATTCAGGAATTCATTGGGAAGAACTGTGTTATTAGCAATAATCAGCATGGTTTTATGAAACATAGGTCATGTAAAACTAACCTGATTGCATTCTACGAAGAAGTAAGTAGAAGTATAGATCAGGGTGTTGCAGTGGATGTGATCTACTTGGATTTTGCCAAGGTATTTGATACAGTTCCTCACAATAGGTTAGTCTTCAAACTAAAAGAAATTGGTCTAGATGAATATTCTTGTTCTTGGGTAGAACATTGGCTTAAGGATAGAGTACAACAAGTTGTCATTAATGGTAAATTTTCAAGCTGGACAAAAGTGGTAAGTGGTGTCCCTCAGGGTTCTGTTTTCGGACCACTTCTATTTAACATATTTATAAATGATCTTGAAATGGGCATTGAAAGCTATGTATCAGTGGTTGCAGATGGCACAAAACTTTGTAAAGTAATAAAATGTGAGCAGGATATTGCCTTGCTGCAGAGGGATTTGGATAGATTGGGGGACTGGGCACTAAAATTACATATGAAGTTTAACGTACAGAAATGCAAAGTTATGCACTTCGGGGTTAAGAATGCACAAGCAATTTACACCCTAAATGGCAGTGAACTAGTGATAACCACACACGAGAAGGATTTGGGAATTGTTATAGACAACAAATTAGGCAGCAATATGCAATGTCCATCTGCCGTTGCTAAGGCCAGTAAGGTTTTGTCATGTATAAATAGGGGCATAAATTCTCAAGATGAAAATATAATTTTGCCTCTTTATAAATCGCTGGTAAGACCGCACCTTGAATATGCTGTGCAATTTTGGGCATCTGTTCTAAAGAAAGATATCATGGCACTAGAAAAAGTGCAGAGACGAGCTACAAAATTGGTAAAAGGAATGGAGCATTTTAGTTACGAAGAAAGGTTAAAAAATGTAAATCTCTTTAGTTTGGAAAAACGGCGCCTGAGAGGCGATATGATAACATTATACAAATATATTCAGGGCCAGTACAAAACATTTTCTGGAAATCTATTCATTAACAGGGCTATACATAGGACACAAGGTCACACATTTAGGCTGGAAGAAAGGAGATTTCATCTAAGGCAAAGAAAACATTTTTTTTTACAGGAAGAGCAATAAGGATATGGAATTCTTTGCCTGAAGAGGTGGTTTTGTCAGAGTCTATACAGATGTTTAAACTGCAATTGGATAAATACTTAACATAATACTTAACAAAAACATAACATACAGGGATATAATTTCTAATTAGTGGGGTAATAGCTGCTTGATCCAAGGAGACATCTGACTGCTATTTTGGGGTCAAGAAGGAATTTTTTCCTAGTTTGTTGCAAAATTTGAAGCGCTTCAGACTGGGTTTTTTGCCTTCTTTTGGATCAACAGCAAAAAACAAATGTGAGGTAGGCTGAACTTGATGGACGCAAGCCTCTTTTCAGCTATGTAACTATGTAACTATGTAACTATAAAGCACCTTCCCCGCAGGAGCCCCAGCAGAGAGGAAAAGAAGGAAAGGAAACAAGCGAGGCCGGGAGCCGGGCGGACAGGGTAGCTTTCGCGCGCCTGGGAAAACGGTGCACAAGAGCTACATGTGGGACTGCCGGAGTCGTACTCCACGGTCCCAGCGGTCAGTGCAGAATGGGAGGCGGTTCACTGAACCGCTTTCCGCCAACCATGCAAAAATATAAGTGAGACAAATGGAGCTGCAGAGCAGCAAGGGGGGAGAGAGAAAAAAGATAGAGAGGGTAGAGAGCACACCCAAACGTTCCCCACAGCAAAAGGGTAACCAAAAAAGTGACTGAGAAGAGAATAAAAACCAATAAACAACAAAAAACAACGAATAAATATATATAAGTATACCTACAAACCCCCTATAGCAATAAGAGGTAGTGGTACTCTGACTTGTGCTTGATGTGGTGCAGCAAAGAAAGAGGAAGTAGTTGGCTGGAAGGGGCCTTATATGGTTTCCTTACTTTTTTCTGATTGTTTTTTTCTCTCTGTGTTAATGTGCTGCTGTAAAGTTCTAGTAAAGAGAGACTTAAGCAAATATGAAGCCTCCTGTCATGTTATAAAATTAAGACTGACTTCAATGCAAAGAAATCATTTCCAATGGGGTAGTGCAATGAAAGAACAAGAAACTATTTAGGAGTCCAAAATCCCAATATTCCACCAACAATAAAAGAATGGCATATTTTCTTTAACCCCTTAAGGACCAAACTTCTGGAATAAAAGGGAATCATGACATGTCACATGTGAGTGTGATTCTGGTGTGCCAGCTGGTTTTGCAGTGATTAATGTATGAAATGGTTAGATAGGCATCACAACTGAATGTAGGTGTCCTATTATTGCTTGTTAACATGTTAAATCAGTCATTAATAATATTTCATGTTTTTGCAAACCGGTTTTCTTTGATAAACACCAATGGGGAGGACCTACTGTAGCACCCTAAAGCCTGTTCTTATGAGATTATTCCACTTAGTTGGAAAATGCCTCCTCCTAGGACTCTCTGCATTCTATTCAGCATATCCATGGTCATTTATGATTGGATATACCAGGAGCCACTTTCAGAAAGCATTCTCAATTATCAGGCATAAAATTAAGTTTTAGTGAGTGAGGCTAGCATAAACTGACTCTGCATAAGTTATGTGCATGTTTCTGCAAGTAAAGTGATCGTTGCAACGGTAAAACTTTTTTTCAATGTGTAATTTATAGTGAGGTATATGTTAAATTGAACAATGAAAACAGTACATATATATTGATAGAGAGAAAGAGAACAGATGATGAAAGAGGATAGTCCCATCAGGACACCATGGCATATTGCAGACTTAATAATGCACTGTGTCCCATTGTGTCCAGACTCAAAACTTAGTAAGGTTTTTGTAAGTCTGCGTGCTATTTCTTCTAAGTTTCTAGTGCACTGTGGAGAGCATGTGTAAAATGAGACATTTTATAGATCCTGAATGGGAAGGAGGGATTGTGTCTAACAGGTACAATTCTGGTGAATCCAAGATTAGCCGCAGAACAAATTGCAAATAGTTTTCACAGGTCAGAATATGTGCAGCAGTGTACCAGGTTGGTAGACACACATCCAGCAGAAATAAGAGGAGGCTGGATTGTGCAAATCTGAACCCCCAGATGGCTACTAGTCCCTATTGCCCTAACCACCCTTGATAACATAAAATCTCACCTACCCCCTCATCCTAATAACAGGGAGGGTGGCCCAATAAATCTAATATCTGTAAAAGAAAATGTTATGTTTATCTTCAGAAGACTTCTTTTTATTACATCATTATG